ACGGTGGCTACGGCACGGACAACGGTGGCTACGGCACGGACAACGGCGACTACACCTCTGATGGCGGGGCCTACAACGGCAAAGAGAGCGGCAACGATGGCTACGGCCCGGATGGTGCTGCTCACAGCTCTGAAGCCGAAGGCGCTGCTTACGGCTCGGACAGCGGCGTCTACGGCTCGGGCAACGGCTATGACTTGGAAGGCGGCATCTACAACGACTACGACTCGGGCAACAACGGGTATGGCAGCAACAACGGCTACGACAACGGCTACGACAACGGCAACGACTACGGCAACGAAAAGGCGACCAAGGACTACTTCCTCAAGGACTTCTTCTTCAACGTGACGTACTCCAACACGACGTCGGTGCGCAAGGACCTCAGTGTGCCAGCGCCGCCGACGCGCCTCGAGTTTTCGCTCTTTGCGAATGCGCAAGCCAAAGCGCCGCTGTGCACGACCACGATCCAGTGCCCAGGCACATCGTACCCCAAGCGTCTTCGTCAGTAGTTTGCTCGCACCAACCTACTGTTTACCGCTAACAAGCAGTGTACTTTCTACTTGAAGGATGACAAAATTCGAATTTATGTCCCGCGGATCGTCCTTTTTAACTTAACGACACGAGACGCGATCTTCAAGAGGCGTCATGGGGCTGCGCGCGGGCTGGGAGTCGGCTGTCGACTCGGCGAGCGGCAACACGTACTACTTTAACCGAAGGTGGGCTCGAGGCGGCGCGTCCGCGAAGGTATCATGAAAGTGTGTAGCTCGGGCGAGACGTCATGGACACCGCCGCCACCGATCGCGCACTCGACCGAGTCGGCGGCGATTTTGATCCAAAAGATCTACCGGGCCAAGCAAGCGCGCGCTCGGCTCCAGACCATGATGCACAGTATTTACCAGCGCATCTTTGATCCAACCACGCAGGCGTACTTTTACCACAATGTCAAGACGGGCGAGACCTCCTGGTGCACTGCATGGGATCAACGTCTTTCTCATTGCAGCATCTAGGATGACGCCGCGGGGGCTCAAGATCAAACCTAAAACATCGCCGAACGAAGGGAGTAGTTCGGAGGAGCCCGAGAGCCCGCTACCGCCTGGTTGGTCCGAGGCCTTTGACAACGCGACCCAGCACACCTATTACGTCAACGAGGCGACCAAAGAGACGTCGTGGACACGCCCGCAGGCGAGTCCGAGCTGGAAACCCTTTGTGATGGACGAAGATGAAGCAGCAACACTTTTGCAAGCAGCGTGGCGAGGGCGGCGTGACCGAGACCGCGTGCGGCAGGAGCTGCTGGAGCGCTTCGTGCCTGTGATCGACCCAACGACAGGCGCGACGACGTACTTGGACAAGCAGACAAAGCTTTCTCTCGCGTCCGTACAACAACTTCTTGCAGGAGAGACTGCTTATGCGTGTTATATCGTAGTGCGCGGCCAAACTTCCCTCAGACACCGAGCAACCGAGCGATACTGGCAGCTCCGACCACCGCGATGCCAAAGGAAGAAATGTACGGCAGTGAGAGCAGTCGACGCTCCTTCCGCATTGGCCAGCGCACGTACCCTCGCTCCAAAGGCCAGGTACGATCGATGATACAAATGCCCTTTGCACCGTGCGAGATATCAGACCTGCGTAGCTCATTGTCGATGCTGCCGAAGACCTGGAGCTAGAAGACATACCTGTGACCGAGCTCGACATGAGCCGTCTCCAGGCGATCAAGCTCACGAGTCGTATATGGAATCTCGATAATTTGCAGCGCCTCCTCCTGCACGTACGATCCATGAGGTCATGAATGTCCCTCCTCATTCGCTGTGGTGATAGGAAAACCGACTTACGCGCATTCCGTCGGGCATTCAAGACCTCACCAAACTGGTCTACGTACGTACATGGCCTGTTTGCTCTCCCTTCAAGGCATCGGTAGTTGAATGTGAGCCACAACGCATTGGCGACGCTGCCATCGGGGCTTCAGACGACAAAGACGCTGCAGCACCTCGACGCGTCACACAACGTCATAGCCACCTTCTCACCGCGCCTTTGGAAGCTCGGCAACCTCACGCACTTGGATCTGAGCCACAACAAGCTGGTGGAGCTACCGTATGTTGAAGGCGATCTCAAACTCCTCAAAGAAACGGGAGCATGGGGCGTCGGCATCGGGCTTCTCTCCAAGCTGCACACGCTCAAATTGCAGCACAACCTCCTTCGAGCGTGGCCATCAATGCTTGAGAGCTGCATGGCATTGCGTACGCTGGACTTGAGCGAGAACGCCCTCACGGAGCTCAGCGCTGACGTGGGTAATTTGAGTCAACTAGAGTCGCTCGTCCTCCACCACAATCAGCTAAGCCGACTGCCCGACACACTTGGTCTTCTCGGTGAGCTGCAAATGCTGGATGTGTCGCACAACCTTCTGAACGACGTGCCAGCAAGGTACTACCACGTCGACGGGTTGCGTGTTTTACACCATTTGTGTCTAGTATTGCTGATTGCACGCAACTTTCGATCTTGAACTTGACCCACAACGCCCTCGCGTCGCTTCCAGAGGCAACCAAGGCGCTCGTTACCTTGACACGCTTGCTCCTCTCGGAAAACCCTTTTGTGGCATTTCCAAATCACTTTGCTGACATGCTTGCGCTCACGACACTTACCATGGCCTCGTGCAATATCCCAGCATTGCCCGAAGGCTTTTGGACGTTTGCCAAGACGCAGCTACCGAGTCTCTCGAGCGTCGATCTCTCGCACAACAGCATTCAATTTCTGCCGACAAAGGGCTTGACGCGCCTCCGAAGCGTTCTCACGACACTGCGCTTGAGCCACAATGCATTGGAGGCGCTTGAGCCCCTCGTGTGCACCTGCCATCGCCTCACCGAGCTCTCACTGTCCCACAACGCGCTCTCGACGCTGCCCGATGAAGTCGCTGGCTTGAAAGGTACGGCGTCGGTATTGTCTGTCACTGAGAGTACAACGCTGAGGAAATAGCACTTGAAATCCTCGACGTGTCGTACAACCAGCTGCAGGCGCTGCCAGAGACAGTGACCAACCTCGCCAAGCTCAAGTCGCTTCGCGCCAACCACAACCAACTCCACGCGTTGCCAAAGCTCGTGGGTACCGTCTACGACAACCATTCCTCCCCGAATCACTCGCTACGTAGGTCGGTTGACACTACTCGAGTATTTGGACGTGTCGCACAATGCGCTGACGCACTTGCCGTCGACGGTGCACGAGCTTCGGCGGCTAATGTACCTCTCGGCGGCGTCGAATCAACTCGTGCTGCGCCCGCCATACCTCCAGCACCACGTCGAGACGTTTGTGGACCTGAGCAACAACCCGTTCGAAACGATCGACAGCGACTACCACGCGTACATGACGGCCGTGTACAAGGCCAAGGCCGACGTCGACCGAGGCGAGTACGCGTCTGCGCACGCGCTCTTCTCCGAGCTGCTCTACGACACCAAGTTGCGGCCGTACGATCTGTTGCCTCCGACGCACCAGCACATTCGCACGGTTGCAGTCTTTTACCGAGGCATCTGCCGCTACCAGCAGGTAGACTGCCATGTCTTTTGAATTCATAGAACGATGTGTGGTAGATCATGGCCGCACTGCGGGAGCTCGAGCGTGTGAGCCAAGAAGCCGCCGACGTCGCACGAGTGGTGCACGAAGATACCCTGCTCCACAGCATAAGTCGTCGCATCGGTGAGAAGCCCCGCACTGTGCCGTTGCGATCCCCCGACGCTGTCCGTGACGCGCAAGACCAGATCGCCAAGCTCGTTGCGCAGAAAGGCCAGCTTCGCACCGACATTGCCGTTTGGCGAGACGACGCGGTGCGCGACCTCAAGACGGCACTGCGCCTGCGTATGGAGCCTCGCACGTCGAGCTACACGCTTGCGTTGCTCTACGCCAAGCTCGGCGAGGTGCATTCCACTCGTAGTACATAGACCAATGAACTGGAGCTCTGCCGTGTCTAGTATCCGAATGCCGTCCAGATGTGGACAACAGCGATGAGCTACGTGCCGACAGCACGGAACGCAATGACGGACGGCGACGACAGCGAGACAGTCACGGCGGCGCTCGTGCCTCTTCTCTTGCACCGGGCGCGCGCGTATGCGGCCATGGGTCAGATCCCGCGGGCCCTCGTCGACTACCGGCGCATCCTCGCTGTCTTTCCGGATGACGCCGACGCCCAACTGGAGCTCTACGAGTGGAGCGAACACCACCGCAAATTTCACGAGCCGTGTGGCGTCGACAGTGATGAACTCCTTCGAGCGGTGGACGTCGACGTTGGCACGGGTATCGGACGCCGGCGCCACGACCCCGCGGTCGCAGCGCTGCCCGCGCTCAACGAGATCGACTCGGCTGCTGCGTTTCGCGAGGCGTGCCAGCGACTTCGCGACGCTGCAGCGACAGCCCATGTGCAAACGATTCAAGCCGAGAAGGCAGCCAAGGCAAGCCGCGACGCAGCGGTCACCCTCGTGCTCGATCGGAAGCGCGAGATTCGCGCCAACTTGGACATGCAGAGCGAAGAGGTCGACCAGCGCAAGCGCGACGCTGCGATAGCCCGTGCTTTGTACATGCTTCAGCAGGAGCGCGCTCGGGAAGAAAATGAGCGCACGTGGATGGGCTACGAAGAGGACGTACAGCGCTGGACCGAGCGCGAGCAAGCCCGGTTGCTTCAGGAGGAGCTGGATGCGCTCGAGGCAGCCAGGCGCAAGGCGGAAGAGAAGGCCGAGCTAAAGAAGCGGATGGCCCGTCGTGGTGGCCTGCGCCAAGCGTCGTCGACCCGAGGAAAGAAGTAATCGACCAAGGAAGCAAAGACCATCGAACTCAATGGCGGCGCGATAAGAATTTGTAACTGATGCAACTTCAAGTTTGCCCCGGGTTGTGATTGACTGTGAATTTCGGTGGGTATATCCTAATCAGGTCAAATGCACCTATTTAGAGGATACAATCAGGACAAAGCAGGACGCAGCATCACGCACGGCAGTACCTACCCAACGCTTGCCCCGACGGATGATAGGTAATGACACAGGCCTCGGCGGGACCTCACGCGCGGCTAGGAGCTGCAATCACATCGGCGCGCTGCAGCCTCGCATCTGGCGACGCGATGTCCGATGTGTGGACAACCATCGTGGCCTCTTGGCACGTCCGTGACGCCCCGGTTACGATCGACTGGACGCTGCCATCGGCCGTCGCGCCAGGCACCACGAGCCAGCTTGTTGCCTGCGCAGATGCAGCGTGTACCGAATCGCAAGTCGTCGTCGGGGATGTGGTCATGGACGGGGAAGCGCTGCTTCGCACGTCGTTTCGCACGTCGGGGATGCTCTATGGTCCGCTCTCCGCGCAGCTGATGGTCTCTCTCGACAACGTGGTCTCGTACAACTGCGCAGCAACCGTCGACACCACGCCAATGAACCTCTCGCGGCAGCTGCGTGGTCCGACGCCGGCGAGCGTCGCTGCCGGTGGCCTTGAAGTCGTCGCGCTTGTGTGTGGTATCACCGTTATCGCCGTTCTTGGCATCTTCTCCAACATCTTTCGGAAGCGCGCCCCGAGCAACGCATCGATCACGCAACCAACGCGGTCGCCAAACGTCAGCAGCCCGACGCTCTTCTGCCACGGCCTCGACGAAGCCGCATTGCTGCCTCAGGAGGCGACATCGTCGAGCAGTGTGAGCGAGCTCTGGAAGACCATGTACCACGGCCATGTCGTCATGCTCAAGACGATCCGGAGCCACCATTCGCAGCCGACGCAGGAAGACATTGAGACGTTCACGCGCGAAATCGCCTTCCTCACCAAGTACCACGTCCTTTCATATCCCGAAATCTCATGCCTGAGCCTAGGCTGACGTCGCCGTACGTCGTCAACGTACTTGGCGGCCGGTACCTCGCCACGGGCTCGATCCAAATTGTCATGGAGCACATGCCGCATGGCGATCTCAAGACGCACCTCGGCACGACGCCGGCGGGCGGCTCGGCGTGGGAAGCCTACACGGAGCTCGCATTGGACATTGCCCAAGGTCTTTGCCTCTTGCACAGTTATGGGCTTCCGCACGGCGACTTGAAGAGCCGCAACGTTCTCCTTGGGCCCATCGCCGCCGCCAGCGGCCGGGTCGGATGCAAGCTCACAGACTTTGGCCTCACACGGTACACCATGGTTCTCTTTTTCTTAGTGCTCTATCTGATTTGTTAGTACGCTGGAGCTCGACAGTCGCCAAATGGCGCAAGCAATTGGACTCTACCGCTGGACGGCGCCCGAGGTCGTCCAGCAAATTGCGCTGACGCCAGCCAGCGATATTTACTCGTTTGGGATGCTCCTTTTTGAGATGGACTGTCGCGAAGTGCCGTACTGGAGCCGTCGGTCCCGCCAAGGCCAGATGCTCACCGACATGGCGGTTGCAATCGACGTCGTGCAGCACGGCATGCGCCCCAACTTCAAGTCGACGTGCCCCGTCTGGGTCGAAGAGCTCTGTCTCCGCTGCGTGGACCCAAATCCGGCCAAGCGCCCGACGGCCACGCAGCTTCGCGACGCGATTCTGGATGCAATGACGAGCGCGACGGCCGATGACGTGGCGCCACTCCCGACGTTTGGGCCGTCGCGGTTCTCAGTGCGCGGCAACTTTTCTACCATGCACCACAGCTCGATCCTGGACCTCATGGGCGAGAAGCTCAACCTGCACGACCTCCGCCCGTGGCGCGTGGACGAGAGCCAGCTCCAACCCATCGAGGAAATTGCCAAAGGCGCGTTTGGCGAAGTGTGGCGTGGGCTCTACAAGGGCAACCCCGTCGCGATCAAGACGCTCATCGCGTTCGAGTCGCACACGCCCGAGGACCTCCAGGTCTTTATCGACGAGATGAAGATCATGACCACGTACACACCCTTGTTCCAGTCTCCAAACTAAGAAACGACGATGTAGGCTCCGGTCGCGCTACATTTGCCAGATGATTGGCGCGAGCTGGATGCCGTCGTGCGAGATCAAGCTCGTCCTCGAGTACATGAACGGCGGCGACCTCAAAAACTACTTGACGCGGACGGCGGCAACCGCCGAGGTGTCGACGGCGTGGTCGGAGAAGCTCTTGATCGCACTCGACATTGTCGAAGGGCTCTGCTACATCCACGACCTCAACATCATCCACCGCGACCTCAAGTCGCGCAACGTGCTCTTGCAGAACGCAGGGCGTCTCTCGGCCAAGCTCACGGACTTTGGCATCTCGCGCTACATTGAGATGGACGGGCGCAGCATGAGCTGCGGCGTCGGCACGTACCGCTGGATGGCGCCCGAGATCATTTTGGGCAAGCACTACACGGTCGCCGTCGACATGTACTCGTTCGGCATGATCTTGAACGAGATGGACACGCACCAAGTGCCGTACTACAACGAGCGCACGCCCGAGGGGCAGCTCATCACGGACATCGGCATTGGCGACAAGGTCCGCCGCGGCCTCCTCCGGCCCAAGTTTACCTCGTCGTGCCCGCCGTGGGTCCAAGCACTCGCGCTGCGCTGCGTCGATATGAACCCCGACAGTCGTCCGACCGCGCGCCAAGTGCGCAACGAAATCAAGTGCCAGCTCGACCCAGCGCTCTTTGAATCGTCGTAGAAAGTTGCAATGTATCCTCGAGATTCTAGTGTACACTACACTGGGAGACTACGACCATCTCGGATGATATTGGAATGATATCGCTGCCGACAGCAGCTGCGAGGACAGTTGCGAGCAGATCACACGCAACATGGTGCTCGTCCGACACGGCCTGTGGCGACCAAAGCATGAGCAGCGTGGATTTCACATGGCGAGCATGGACGAGAAATCATCGACATCGCGGCTGCGTGCTCATGCGCGAAGTCATCGATGTCGATACCCGACGCGCCATCATGAGCGACCGAGCCTCGTCCACAGTCCATTCATGCCCCCATTACGCAAAGATCGCGATTTGCAGATTCACTTGGGTTTCGAGCTTTTTCAGGGGGACCCACCCACCCACTTGCTTCAATCCAAAGGGACCGGTAGGGGTGCCCTCTTCTCCACGTCGGACCACGATACGCAGACCTCGATGGGGCCCATTGCCCAAGCGGCCCCGTATCTCGCTGTCCCGCAGTGGTGCAACACTGCGTTGCCAGGGTACTACTACACCTCGAACGACTCGTGTATGCACCATGTATGGCGCCAAGCTCTAAGCGCCTGTCCAATGCCCAAGGCGGCAGGTCCATGGTCCACCCGATCTCGCCACAGATCGCTCGGCGGATCTGCGTACGCCAGCATCTCACCTGTCGCGATGGCCGCGTCGTACAGTACCAGGTACCCGGGTCTCACTCTTTTTTCTAGCACCCCCTCTGCGAATATTGATTCGCAAGTCCAGTGGCGATTATTTGCGATGCGACGCGTGCTGCTACTGACGCTCGCCGTCGGTCTGGCTGCCGACCCAATACCGACGGTCCTGACCTCGTGCGCCCCGGCCCACGCTGGGCCAGGACCAGAGCCAACCCAGCCCTGCGGCTTCACAACGGCCGCGGCCGCGACATGGACCAATGCGTCGCTCGACGTCGACTGGTCCGTGGCGACGACAGCGGTCGACATTGCGACCATCGTCGACGCTTCCATGGGCTACGCGGTGCAAGGCGCGGGGGCCAACATGACGTGGCTTCCCGCGCGCGTCACGGGTGCCGGCGACAACGTCTCTGTCAGCATCCCGTCGCCAGCTGCGAATAGCGTCTATCGCCTGGAGCTTGTGGCCTTTGTGCACACTACTATCGAGCGTACAATCGTGCACGCGAGCTGTCTCGTGGCGGCGCCAAGGAGCTTCGTCGATCTCCCGCTTGCGGCAGCGTCGTCGGCCGCGCCGTCGTCCGAGTCGGCGGACACGTCGTCGTCGCCGTCACCACCCAAGACGCTTGTCGTCGCCCTCGCCGTCAGTGGGAGCGTCCTTATCGCGCTCTTTATTGTTTGTTGCTGGTACCGAACTCGGACAACATGTCCGAATGTCAACCCGCCGATGCCCATGACGCCACCCGCGCCGCTCAAGTGGCAGACGCAGTCGCTCGGGACGGCCTCGGACCCACGCACCAACTCGTCGGCGCTCATGCGGTCGTCGCGCGGCCACGCACACTCGACGGCCTCCGAGCCACTGGGCGATCTCTGGCGCGAGACGGAAGGGATCCACGTCTACGGCGGGTACAGCCGGCGCAGCATCCCGCTCGACGAGTACTTCCCGAGTCCAACCCAGAGTTCGATCGCTACAGCGTACGACGACCCGCGCACGGCGCGCGACTACGACGGGTCGTCGTCCATCTTTAGCGCCGGCGAAAGCTCCGTGGACCTGCGGAGTACGTTTGGGAGCGACCTCTCGACCCACTCGCAGCCAGTGTACGGGCGGCCGCGGCCAGTCTCGGGCGCCAGCACGACCGCGTCGTTTTAATTTAACCTTTACTGCACCGTTTTTGTATCAACGCCAATGTCCACCGGGTCAAGCCCTTTCCCGCGGCGTTCTGGGACGAGGCAAAAGCTATCTCCAACGGTAGAAAGGCCACCATCAATAGGATGACGATGGAGCTGCCGATCCACGAACGCGTGAATGCGATGAACCTGGCCTCGATGGCGGCGCCGGACTCGGTCATCCCGCTCTTTGAGGTCGCAGACAGCGCGCTGCTGGAGGCATCGTTCCCGTCGCACGACTGCGCGATCGCGTGCGACCCCACGTGGCTTTTCCTCGAGCCGCTCGCACCAGCTGTTCCGACGCCGCCGGTCGTCGCCCCGAAAGCAAGCGCGCTATCGGGCGAGCGCCGGCGGCTGTGCAGCGACGTCAACTGCAAGAGCCAAGCACGCGCGTTCGGCAAGTGCAAGCGCCACGGCGGCTCGAAGCGCTGCGCCCATGCCGGCTGCGACAAGAGCGTGCAGAGTCGCGGCCTCTGTATTCGCACGGCGGCGGGTCGCGCTGCAAGGTAGCCTCGTGCACCCGGGCATCCCAAAGTTTGGGGCTGTGTAAGCTGCACGGCGGTGGCCGCCCTGCGCCGTCGTCGGCTGCGACAAGAAGGCCCACATGAAGCAGCTCTGCCGACAGCACGGCGGTGGCGACCGCTGCTCAATCCCTGGCTGCGATAAGTGGGTACAGCGCCGAGGTATGTGCCTCAACCACGCGCACAACATCGCCGGCGAAGACGACCTATCCCACTCCAGCACTGAGTCTTAACCATAACAACTCTTGCTGGCGTACTTGGCTTGGCCGCCGTGATCTTGGAGGAGGTCTATCCATCCTAGTGGGTCGGGCTGTATAGAGGCTGAAGATGAGAGCAGCTTGCTTCTCGGCGAGATTTCGTTGTCTCTGGCCTGTCTGTCGTGGCAGCATGGCATGGCGCGACAACGATCTTTGGAATATTATTTTGCAGATGGATCTTCCAATACACTTATTCTCTGTATGAACAAATAAATATGGCCTTGGATATGTGAATAATATTTATGAGTCCGACGTCGATCGTCGCCAGTTTTCAATTTGCGAGCGCGAAGCCGAGGACGGCGATGCTGCGTAGGCCGACGTCGAGGAAGCTCCATCTCCATGCAGCAGCATGCGTAGATGCAGATGGCGACGACGAAGATGATGGCCTCTATGCAAGCATGGAGCTGAGCACGACGTACTGCTGGAAGTTGCGCCAGTCGGACCAAGTGACCGAGGTCCTCGTCGCCGGCCACGGACGCACATGTGGGCTCACGATAACGCTCATGCTGCCGCGACTCCTCACGGGTATACCCGCCACGGTACGAGGACTTCCGCTGCGTGTCCTGAACAGCGACAAGGTGGCGCCCGCGTGGACCATCTCGATGACTCAAGATCCAGCCAGCGATGCACTTGGTCTCTCGGAGCTACGCGCTGCAATGGAGACGACTGGTATTGCTGGCGTCGAGATTCTAGCGTCGTTGCTACAGATACGCTGGGCGCGCAGCCTTGCAGCTTGCGACCTTTTCTCGCCCGGCACGCCCACGCTGGCCGTTCCGCTTGCCGGCAGCATGATGAACGGCAGCTCGTGCATCTTCTCGGCCACGACGCAGCTCGATCGACCGGGAATGCACTGTATTTATGCCTATGTGACGCTGCTATCGTCGACGCCGCTCGATCTGCGATTTGACTTTGCCATCGCCCAGCCGCTGGAGGTTCTCGCACGAACGATACGCGTCTTGTCTTTGACTTGGCTTGATGTGTGCTGCGCCAGCTTCGCCCATCCACCGACCGACGGCTTTCAAGTTCGTGGTCCACCGACACGGCGCCAGTAGCATCGAGTCCCAACGCCAGTGGTTTGCTTGCACCTCCCACTTCGTTTCGCATTGCTGTTGCTGCTCGTAGACAAATGGCTCGTGATTGCGGCGACCTGCAGTCTTTTTGTGCTCGCGCTGCTAGGTCTTGCTTGTCTCTGCTACAGAAAGCGGCGCAACGCGCTCTTGTCCGGGCCTCGTGCGCCGAGTGACGAGAACGCTGCATTTGCCTCCACGGTCGTCGTGGTCACGTCCATGCCCCGAGCCATGACACACGTTCCCGTCATCGAGTTGCCAACGCCTTTCGTCTACGAGTATCCGACGGCCATGTGGGCGGGATGTCCCGACGACCGCTTCGACGATGCCTCGAACGATACGTCGTTTGCGCTCTTGGCAGCCGACGTAGATGCTAGTGTGGCCTCGGATAGTGCATTATCGTTTGGCGCTTGATTTCTATCGAGGAGCGTATCTGGTGGAGTGGCCTAGAAAGGCCTCGGGACCGTTACGCGTGTCATGTATTCCGGGACATGGGAAATGGACCACGCAGCGAGTGTCGTCCGCGCCGCCGCGCACCTCCGGGCGAAGATGCTGCCGTCGGAGAAGAAGCCGATGACCAAAGCCCAGCGTCTCCAAGCCATTCTCAACAAGAAGTCCGAGCAGCGGTCGGCCGAAGGTACTGCAGGAATCGTGCAGTGGATCGGATGCTGATCATCGTTGTATCGACAGATGTCGATGTCCTCTTTGAGTGGGTCGTCAAGAACGAAGCGACGTGCAAGCTTTTAGCGGTATCCAAGACGTCATTTGCAAGACGATTTGCCGCGAAATGACCTTGTACAACGCGCCGCCGGGCACAGTTGTGTGCTACCAAGGCGACTTTGGCGACATCTTTTACATCGTCCTCACGGGCCAAGTCTCGCTCTACGTGGCGCCCCACGAAGCCCATACGCCCATGGAGGACGAGCTGCGCGGCCAGCTCGGAACGTACCCGGACGAGGCCTCGCGCAAGTCGCTCGGCAAGTTCGTCCGCAAGATTGGAAGCGGTGGCACGTTTGGGGAGCTCGCCGTCCTCGACCCGTCGGCACAGCGGTACGCTTTTCCTCGTTCAAAACGGTAGATCGGTACTTCAACCAGGACGTGCTCGGTCGTGACGAACGTCCTGACGTCGTTTATTTGCCTCAAGCGGGGCGCGTACCACCGCCTGCTCCGCGCGAGCAACGGCGACGAGATTACCTATACGCAGTTTGAGTTTATCGAGGACTTGTACTACTTTGAGTCGTGGTCGCACGGCGACATCTCGCGCCTCTCCAACAAGTTCAAGCTCCTCACCGTGCCGGCCGACGTTGGATGCTGCTACGCCACGACCAAGGTTCCTCATGCGTGATACGTAGAGCTTCTTACTGCGTCACGGCAACGAAGCCAACGCCATGTACTTCATCTTCTCGGGCGTCGTGCAAGAGTCGCTGCCGATGACGGCGCTCATCGATGACGCCGGCTACGTCATCAAGTACACGCCCGTGGACGAAAAACCGAACAAAAAGTCCAAGGCCACGGTTGCGTCAGAAGAGAGCGTGATCCAAGCCATTCACTTTGGCGACCTGCGGCGGAAGCGCGCGAGCTTGGAAACGGCCTTGTACGAAGAGCACGATGTCTGCGGCGAGCACGCCCTCGTCTTTAACGAAAGCCACAGCAAAGTCGAACTGCGCGCCGGTATCACCGTTCTATTGGGGAGGATCTTGATACATTGATACTTGACACCTGTGTAGTCACAGACGTCAAGGCGCTCGTAATGGATGTAGGACGTGTTGCGATGTTGCAAAAGCATAAGGAGATGGGCTAGCGCGCGACGTGGAACGATGTGTTTATGATCGACCGGCTCGACCACATTCTGGCGGCGCAGCAGCTCTTCCGAGAGATGGCTCTCGCGCGAGACAATTGGCGCCAAACACGCATCGCGATTGCATCGACCCACCCGCGTCTGCTACTGACCATGTCTCGCGCCCTTTCGTGCGCAGCGTGACTCATTGAGCCGATTGCTAGCTCGACGCGCTCGATGATGAAGCATGCACGGACGATCTGCGGCTGGTGCGGGTCCCACGACCACATCACAGGTCGAATCTGCATCGTCGAGAGCGCCTTCCGTTGACAGTAATCCAGGCGACAGTGTGTGCTGCAAGGTCGTCGAGGCCAAGCACCAAGCTGCGATCCGTAAACAGCGCAAGAAGGAAGCCGACGACCAGCGCATTTTGGAGGCGAACGCCGACGTCCTCATGGCTCACAAGCGGACGCCGCGGTTGCTCCAGCAAAAGCTCCGCCTCGCAGTCCAAACGGTAGAGCCGCGATCTGTCTCTTTCGTCGGTGCCATTTCTTGGTCCAGGCGGTCCATTTGAAGCAGAATAAAACCGATCTCATGTCGCCGCGCGATCAATTGTACCGCGACTGGCAGATCGCCGCGACCAAGCAAAAGGCGATTGCCGAGGCCCGAGGCGCGTCGCCCAAGCTCCAGGTCTGTACTGCGTGCGCCGCGCGATGTACCACGCGCTGTCTGTAGGTGCCACCGACGCTCCGCGCATCCGTCAACTCGCCGCCCAAGCCCTTGCGCCGACTTGGCGCATCCAAACCGGCCTCGCCGCGCAGCAACAACCAGGCGGCGCCGCGCCAGCTTTTCTTTTTGCCACATTCCTTCGATGAGGAACACGTAGCGAGGCGCCCCGAGCTGGTGCCGCACCTGCCGCTCCGCATGCAGAACGACATTGCTCAGGAAAACTTGACGGTTGTGTACAAGACGCGTCTTCTCGAGAGTCTCAAGGTACGACTCTGTCGCGGCTGGACGCTGGCTTCAACCAATCGATAGAAAGTGCAGACAATAGCCGAGTACCGATCGCGGCGAATCGAGGTCATGACGCAGCTCGAGGCGCCGGGCGACGACGCGCCGTTGCCACTGCGGCCGCGCGTGCCACGCAATCGGCGCTGGCGGCGCGGGCAGCCAACGCGGCTCGATCGGCGAGTGAACCGCATGCTACGCAAGCTCTGGCCGGACGAGTTGCCCAAGATCGAAGAGAGCTTACAAGCCATCAAGATTGGCGAATGAACTCAACATGTGTCTATCGGTCGGTCGTCTAGCAACTAGGAGGCGCACGGCGCGCCTGGGACGCGTGTGCAATGGCAATGAGCTCGGTCAGCAGCGGACGCAGCTCGTGCAGCGGCAGCATCGTTGTCGCGTCACTAAGGCCGCGCGACGGGTCGGGATGTGTCTCGATGAACAAGCCATCGACGCCGACTACCATGGCTTAGGGTAATCGATGGTAGAGAGCGGTACCGGCGGCGGCCATGCGGGCAATTGTCGGAATGAATTCGCGGTCCCCACCGCTCGTGGTGCTGGCGCCCGTGCGCTGTACGCTGTGCGTAATGTCCTGCACGACCAGCGCGCCGTTCGCCCGCAACTTGGGGATGTTGCGCGGGTCCACAACGAGGTCCCCGTACCCAAACATCGTGCCTCGGTCGGTCAGAATGACGTCTGCAAACACAGCGTTAATGCTACGATTTGCAACGAGAGGACGCACCGGCATGCCCCGTCGTCGTCGCCACCTTCTTGGCAGCGAGGAGCTAGCACGCATTCGTGTGAACCACGCAGGATGCAGTCACTCTACCATCGTGTCGGCCGAGCACATTTGTCCCTTCTTGATGTTGACGAGCTTGCCGGTGCGCGCGGCCGCGACCAAGAGATCGGTCTAGAGCATGTGAGAAAATCAACCCAAGATCGTTCCGGTACCTGTCGACAGAGGTACGCTGGGATCTGCACAATGTCGACGACGTCGCCCACGGCCTGGACCTGGTACGTCTAGTCGCAGTCGATCATGAGCCACTTTCGGCGTCGTCCATTGCAGGTTGCCTCGTGCACATCCGTGAGCAGCGGCAGTCCGGTTTCGGCCTTGACAGCCTCCAAGATCGCCAGCCCTTGGTCGAGGCCAGGTCCGCGAAAGCTACAAGGACTAGGCTACGCATGTAACTATTGCATGCGTCGCGTACCTCGCAATGTCTTGCCGGTTGGCCTTGTCAAAGCTGGCCTTGAAGACGACTGGGATCTGCAGCTCGTCGCCGATGGCCTTGAGGCTATAGCGCTGTCAACGCGGATGATGCAGCTGCGGCGGTGTATACCTATGCGCGATCTCGAGCACTACGTCCTTGGACTCGATGACGCATGGGCCGGCGACGAGGAAGAACGGGCGCGCCCGGCGCAGTGTGGTCGCGAGCATTCTTGGATTTCGTCGAAATCGCCGGATTTTTATTATTTTTCGCAGCCACCCACCAAAACCGATGGCCGCGCGCGACACCTTTCCGCTTGTCCGGCGCCTCGTCGTCGGCCTCGGCAACCCGGGCGAGAAGTTCCAGAACACGCGGTAGCTCCATTGCGTTGGCTCCTCTCACGTCGCGCGCAGGCACAACATTGGCAAGATGGCGCTCCAGCACTTCTTCGCCGCCCATGGCGCACCGCATTTTCTCGACGTCAAGGCTGTGCACGGCGAGAGCGCTGTGCACCAGCTGCGGTTTGACGAGCTGCAGACGCGACTCGGCGACGACCTCATTGATCGCATGTCGGAGCGGCGCAAGGCGCGAACTGTCGCGGAGGGCGTCCCGTACCCTGTCGTCGACGTGCATGGCCTCTTGCCGTCGACGTACATGAACCGCAGTGGCATGTCGGTCAAGAGCTACCTCAACACGCATCATTTCCGGTGCGTCTTTCATATATCCTCCTATGCGTTCTCATCCATGGGTCGTAGGCTCAAGAACAATGCGCTCGTCATCAACAAGCACGACGAGCTGCTCGTGCTCACGGACGACATCACTCTGCCGTTTGGCACGTGCCGCTTCAAGCCCAAGGGCGGCCACGGCGGCCAGAACGGCGTCCGCGACGTCATCAAGTGTATCGCGTCCGAGAAGTTTGCGCGGCTCAAGATCGGCATTGGCTGTCCGTCGTGGTTTCTCGATCCTGCGAATAGAGGCAACCCGCCGCCGGGACTGCAACTCGACAAGTACGTTCTCGGCAAGTTCCAGCCGCACGAGATGGACGACATGCGCGCGCTCATGGTCTATACGTCGGCGCTGCTTCGCGTTTACGCCCATCGCGGCCTGAACGAAGCCACCGCGCTCGCCAACAGCACCGACATGAAGGCGTACAAGAAGGACAAGTCCAAGCCCAAGCCAAAGGCCGGCTCACCGCCAGCCAAGAAGCAGCGGTTAGAGTAATAGGACATTATTGATGTTGATGCAATAGCGGGTTGCCGGGTGTTAAATATATGCAAGGCAAGGTGGCTACGACGCGGTCGGGAGGTCGCGCTGGGACGCGAGGACGGCAACGTCGTCCGAGATGGCGCTCGGCCGGAGCTTGTACGCGCCGCGCGAGCTCTCAATCATGTCGTCCAAGAGGTAGAACGCCGGTTCGTCGTGGCCGTTGGCGTCGACGAGCCCAGACGCCATGTCCTCTAGCAGTTGCACTTGGTCAACGATGGTTGGGCCGTCGCTGACGCCCGCGAACGCGTCAATGTCGGCGCAGGAGAGCGACGATGTCGACGCGGCGCGGGGCTTCCACACGAGGAGCACGATGGCGAGGCCGACGACAGCGAGTACGATCGTGCCGATGCTCAGCGAGCAGATCAAGATGACGTTGGTCGAGTCATTTTCGGGCACGACCGACATGTTGGCGGCGCAGTGACCGAGCAGAGGCAGCAGTGCCACGAGCAGCGGTCGTCCAAGCATCGTTCTTCGTTGGTAGTACACTGTGTTCGAGTGGCTTGGACTCTGTCTCGAGTAGAAAGGCGGTGTACGTCGAGAACGTGCACCGAAGTTTCTCACCCAGACAGGTCCGAAACGTGAATGCGTGATCGGCTGCCGCCGCAAATGCAACGGGGCTCGGGCAAAGCGTACGTGGCGCAAATCGCACGGCTCGACGGTCCTCTACGCAGTGGTCTCTACGTGAATGGAGTCTAGTGTATGTGCTTGCGACGCCATCGGCGCGGCCAAGGAGCGTGGGACCTTGCATGTCACTCGCTGATGAGTTGGGACAAAGCACATGCGCGTAATGCTGTCGGCGGGCAAAAGTTTTGACCAGAGGGTTTTGCCGCAAAACCCTCTGGTTTGCATTGAGCGACGCGATGGCAGCCGTGTCGAACTGGGTAAAACCGGGCCAGAGCGCGCCACCTGGCGCGCCGCGAGCGTTCCCGCCGTGTTCCGCATTGCGCTCTTGGTCCAGCCTACGCATTACGCATTGCAGCGGGCGATGTGATGTTGTGAGCCTCGGCGACCATGCGCCCATAGCTGGAAGGAAACAATTCACAGACCAAGTGTTGCGCAGAAGCTCGCGTCGTTCATCACCACGACTAACCAGCTCCAAAACGGGGCCGTGTACAGAGAGTACAGTGAGCTCGACGCCCCACGGTGCTCGCTCATTCAAAACACGCCATGATACTCATTGGCATCCGGGGATATGACGTGGTATAGCCTAGCTCATGGCTACAACGGCGTCTGCTTCAGAATATCGAATGCCAGATTGTACTTCGTGATGCATTTTCGAGTCATCGACTGACTGCCTGCGTTTGGTGCTGCCACGTCACCGGGACCTTTCGCTCTCGGCAGCGTAATGGGCATTATCTTGAGTTTAGGACACCTCCTCCACAACCATAAGCTTCTTGTGCTTGTGCTGTCGAGACCATGCATTGAGCGCCCGCGGCCAGCGGCTCTGGGGCACCACCTCAGCTGTCGTCGACGCAGGCGCAGCGTCCATCGAAGACTCGATGGTGAGGCAGCAGGGATACCATGCGTTCGGTCCTCGGTGACGCTGGCGTGTGGCCACGAACGCAAACAGTCGGTGGTCGGTCGCCATCCACTGGTACATGGCCGGCACGATCTCGCGCGCAAAAGGTCCAAATGCGTTGACCACAAACGTGAGGAGCTCGGCCGCCGTGCGCTCGCCGCCATCAAAGGCCAAGCACTCGGCGTGCAGCGCATCGTACTTGTCGCTCAGCACCGCCGTCCACGTCGTTGCTACCGTGACGCAGGCGCGTGGCAGCTCAACGGAGCACGTCGGGCAAAAGCTGGCGCAGGACCCCCCGAGCTTCAACCCGAGCGCCGTAAATGCGTCCTTTGGAAGCCGCGCCTTCCACGCTGGCAGCGCCATGGGCAAGATGCAACAGGGCAAGCTACGTTTGCGATGACGTGCTTGGAGGCGCAGATGGCGGCGATGTACTGCGTGAGGCAGTCGGTGCAGACGCGCGCGGGGCAGTGCGCGCCGCAGAGGCCCCGAGTGTCGTCGACGAGAGCGTCTGCGCAGAGCTGGCACGGCTGCAAGGCGACCGAGAGCAACCCACGTTCCGCGTCGATCCACTCCATCGTCTTCCTTGCACTATGTACGACAAAGGCATCTCGCAGCTTTTTCCTCAAGTTTCTCCGCGAGTAAAAGCGTATCGAGCGACAGGGGCAAGGTGTATTGGGCACTTAACATGTCGTTGCGCCGGCCCGTGCCTCGTCTCCTGGCCGCTCTCGGGTCGCCAGCAGGCGTCGGTGCTCGTCTACCGAGAGTTCCGTGAGCAGAGGATCGTGACTCATGGGTGTACGCACCATTGCGGTGTCTGCCTCGCGAGTGCCTCAGTAAAACCCGGTCTTGTGCACGTCCTGGGACATGGGCATGTGCTGCGACTTGTAGTCGAACGTGTCCTGGCTCATGCCCGTCGAGAACTGCGAGAAGGACTGGGTGGCACCGGCTTGCGTAAACGGGCCGTCCAGCATCGACTGCTGCGTCATCATAAAGCCGCCGCTCTCTTCTTGCTGCGTGAGCGGGCCGGGCGCGAAGGGCTGGCCGCGGCGGTTGCCGGCAGCGCGGGGCGGAAGCGGCGGTGCGCGGCGCGACGCCTCGTAGCGTGGGTCGAAGCGCGAGTCGAGCGGCGGCAGCGGGTCCTGGCGCGAGTACGCCATACCGCTGTTGTCGTACGCGCGGGTCTGGCGACGCGCGCGCGGCTTCTCGACCTTGGGGAACTGCATAAAGGACGGCTGCAGGTTGTTGAGCGAGCCCTCGACGACGAGCTGGTTGTCGCGATAGTGGTTCAGAAGGTCGTTCCAGAGCTCTTGCTTGGCCAAGACACGCGGGTTGCCGAGAATGATGACACCGTACTTGGCGCGGGTGAGCGCAACGTTGAGACGGCGCTGGTCACTGAGAAACCCAATGCCTAGAAACCGTCGAGTCGTCAATTCGAGTGGATCGGACGCTACCTTGGTTTTCGTTGGAGCGCACGCACGAGAGAATGATCAGGTCCTTCTCGCGGCCCTGGAACGAGTCGACGGACGCGACCTCGACGTCCTTGTAGAGCTGCGACCGCATCGGGCCGTTGCGCTGCATAAAGTTGACAATGTACGCGCGCTGGCCCTCGTACGGCGTGATGACGCCTAGTCATCATGAGCCAAGGCAAGGAAGAATATGAGCAAGCAACCAATCTGGGACGGCTGGACACCGGCCTTGAGGAAGTGGGTCACGCACTTCTCGCAGTGCGACGCTTCCGTGCGGTTGAGGTACGACGTGCCGCTCGAGCTAATCTCTTCGGCGCCGAGCGAAATGTAGAAAAACGTGGGTTTCTGCGGGTTGGGCCACGGGAATGCCACGTGCTTCATGATGCGATCGGACGTGCTCACGCCGTTTTGGAGCTCGCCCTCGTAAAACATGTTGGACGGGAACTCCGAGAGGCACGGGTGCATGCGGTACTGGACGCGGAGACGGAACGGGCGGTGCTGGAGCCGCAAGAGCCGGTCAAAGAGCGACTGGTTCAAGCCCGCCTTCGCCGCCTTCTTGCTCATGACGACGGGCCCGAGCTGCATGTGGTCGCCCACCATGACCACGTGCTTGGCGCCCTGCACGATCGGGATGAGGCACTCGGGCTCCGTCGCCTGCGTCGCCTCGTCGATGAGCACTTGGCGAAAGCGAAAGTTGGCCAGACGCGGGTCGCCCGACCCGACGCACGTCGTGCAAATGACGTCGGCGGCTTGGAGGATCTCGCGCTCGGCATTGCGCTTGAGGGCCTTGAAGCGCTTCTCGTCCTGCGACGAGAGCTCGCTGCACAAACATGTTGGCATTTCGATTCGAAAAGAGACATGCAGCGTACCCTTGGTCTTCCTTGAGCTGCATGAGCTTGCGCAGATCGGCCTTGTCCGGGCTGTCGAGGCCCTTGATCATCGCGTGGAGACTGAGGTGCTCGACGGTCGACGCGACGGCCTCACGGCTCTTGGCCGCGAGACGCACGACCTTGAGCCCTGTCGCCGAGATCTTCTCCGTCAAGTGGTCGACGGCAATGTTACTCGGCGCCGTCACGAGCACTTGGCCGCTGTTCTGCTTGACGAGGTGGTACACGACCGAGGCCGACGTGACCGTCTACCGACATGGTGTAGTGTCGCATAATATTCATAGTGCGGTACCTTGCCCGTGCCTGGCGGGCCTTGGATCAAGCTCAGCGACTGCGTGAGCACGCCTTTGACGGCCGCGAGCTGCGACGGGTTGAGTTCTGGCAGCCCCGGCACCGAGAGACCGATCGTGGCCGTCGACCGCGCGGTGCGAAGCGTCTGCATCTCGACATCGTGGCCGAGGAGCTTGTGGTAGAGGTAGCCCGTGAGCGACGTGTCGTCGACGGCGAACGTCTTCATGGCGCCTTGCATGCGGTCGAACGAGGTCGACTTCCACACAAAGTCGACGCAGTAGCCGTCGGTGATGTCGACCTACTCAATGTTGATGCGACGGGGACGCAAGGGAGGAGACGCACCGGCACGTGCGAGTTGCGCATCTCGAGCGTGACCTCCGACTCGTCGAAGCGCAGGACGTGGCCCGTGCCTTCCCAGTCCTTGCCGTACATCAAGGCCGAGCCCGGCCCGAGGCGAAGCCGAATCTCGTCGCCGGGCACGAGCCGAAAGTCCGCGTCCGGCCGGCTCGACGAGAAGATCGCGTTGCGCTTCTTGTTGAGGCCAATGTCCCAGCGCACAAACACGTTGTCTTGCGTCTGCGCCTCCTTCATCTTCTTGTCGTAGTCCGACTCCATCTTGACGAGCGGCCCGAGGATGTTCTGGTACTGGTACCCGTCGTCGTACCGATCCTGCACCGCGTTTGGCTCGTCGTCGACGCCCGGGCGGTCGAGGTCCTCGAGCGTCGCCTGTGGGTGCTCGCGCCACACCTCTTCGAGCTTGGCGATCTGCGTCGCCGTGATCTGGCGGGACCGCAGCTGCTCATGCTCCGTCGGGACCTTGACGAGCCACGGGAGGAAGCACCGATCGTCAATGAGCGGCAGCCACTGCGACATGTCCCAGCTCAAGTCTTTGAGCGCGTTCAGTTGGAGGCACGGGTCGCGGCAGAGCAGCACGACGACCGAGTCCTGCTTGGCCGGAATGAAGCCGAGGAGGAAGACGTTGCGACAACCGCAGTTGTAGCACTCGAGAACTGTCTCGCCGAGCGGGCTGTCCGGGTGCAGCGCGACCTCCTTGTTCTTGGAGCGCACAAGGTGCTGGATGATGTGGCTGCCGCTCGTGTTGCCGCGCGAGTTGCAAAACCACTTGTCCGTCGAGACGCACTTGACGACGCTCGCAGGATCGTGCAGACCACAGTAGGCGCAGGCGTGGCTAGGAAGCTCCACGGGCATATCCGGCATGCCACCTTCGTCGTCGTCAAGGTCCAGCGACGCGAGCATGGCCGCGTCCATCGAGAGGTCCACGTCAGCGTAGCCCATGGCGGCCGACGACTGCTGGACCTCGGGGACGAAGTCGTCGTCGTCGTCGTCCTGCTCGACAAAGGCGTACGAGAAGCCATCGAGGTCGGGTCTTGCTGCGATTGCATCTTGGTCCAAGGTTCTAATTGACGGTCGCCGGGCGGGCGACTTTGCACCAATCAGACGCCGCGGAACCGCTAAATTCACGCCACCTTAGCCGCCACGATCCGACTGCACGAGAATGAAAATGAACAGAACGCCTCAATTAATAGCAAGGGTCGGTATATCGAGCGCATCACTCATCGCCTGCAGAATGCATGCAATATATCACAGTATCTAGGCGGCTCGGGAGGCTAGTAGGTCGGCGCGGACCGCGCGATCGACTTGGCGCGGTCTCTTCTCGACTGTGGCAGCGGCACAAGCTCGCCGTCGACGTACTCGTACATGATGGGCACGCCTACGCGCAGCCATGCATACATAAACGACATGCATTGCGTCCAACCTGTGGGGGCGAGGAGGCGGCACGCCGACGGATCCGTCTTCTCGAGCTTCATTTGCGCATTGAAGAAGTCTTCGTCCATCTTCTCGAACGACTTCATGAGCGTTCGCAACACGAAGCCGTGGGTCGAGACGAGCACGTTCTTTCCGGCCGCGAGCTGGGGCTCGATGAACTGGCGGAAGAAGGGCAGGACGCGCGCCTCAATGTCGGCGCAGCTCTCGCCCTTCTCGCCCGGAAACTTGAGGCCAAACTCGTTGCGGACCGGCGCGAGGTTCGTCGGGTGCTGCGTCGACGGCACGCCTTGAAGCGACCCAAAGTTGCGTTCGTTCAGCGCCGGCGTCACGTACACCGGGATCGCAAAGTGCGTCGGGTCGTCCACGTCGTAGAGGTCTTCAAAGTCGGGACGCTCGAGTGGCGAGTTGTACACGACGATGGGCGTCCGGCCACTTTCGTGGATCGAGAGCGCAAGCGAGACCTAGGATGCATACAATTCAGTCTCAAAACGCGGTACAAGATCGACCGTGGCCCGGGCGCGGTCCATCTGCGAGCAAAAGACCAAGTCGAGCGGAATGTTCTGGAGCGACTCGCCGGCTTGCAGCGCCTCTTGGATGCCCACGTCCGAGAGCGGAATGTCCACCGTGCCGGCGTAGCGCCACGGATCAGTCGGGCGGTCGGGCTTGCGGTTCCAGACCGACTGCCCATGGCGCATGAGAATGAGCCGACCCGCGCTCTCCGCGTGCTTCTCCATGTAGATCAGCGGCATGTCGCTCTCCCAGACCATGCTGTGCGAGTGCGGCAGGACGTGGGGCTCTGGCGCGCAGCAGCTCTCCTAGCACACGCTGGCATGAGCTCGGCGACGTAGGCGGCGCCGTACGCAGGTGATGCTGGCCTTGCGGACAAACTTGGTCGCTGGTTCCTTCGTCTCAGCCTCGCGCCTGCGCTGCAGGTACATGCCCGCGCAGAGGCCGACGGCCGTACACAGCACGAGCTCCTTCATGCCCCACACGAACCGGCTTGGATACGTTTCTGATCGGTCCTATTTTCAGCCACGAATCCTAGTTGCATAGGCTGGTTTAGGCTTAATCCGAAATATGCTGTGGCAGCATCTCGCGTTTTCATTGGTAAACATTGGCCAATCGAAAGCGTCAGTTCAGCATGTCGGGTGGTCGATCTTGGGGCGTGTAATGAGTCGCGCGCCTTTCCGGCTGTCCACAATCGCCCGACTTCAAGGTCCGTCCCACAGCCCTCGGTGGGATGCGCTTCGTGTTCGCGACAGAGGAGCCTTTTCCCCTCGTGCCTCCTGCTCGTCGTATTGGAACAGAACGGCGGCAAGATTGTCGCTATTGGATTTCCAAGCAGCGAAATCTGGGCCAGACGTGGATTGGTCACATTTTCAGCCAATCACCGCGCACTGAGCTTCGATTTGAAGCCTGCCACATCAATTGCCAGCGTAGTACACAGTACGATGTGCGCGCGGCTGCGATCGTCGAGAAGCAGAAGAAGAAGCTGCCAAAGCAAGTGGCTTCTCCTGCGACGTGCAGCATAGAGACGGCAGAGCAGCGAGCGTACGCACGTGGCAAAGACGACCACTTGGCCCACCACGCTCGGACGCCGGATGTTCCTAATTAGGCCGAGATATCGGGTGCATAAAAATAGCCTCATGACCATACAAACATCAAATGAAAAGCATTTATGCGTGTCAAAGAATTTGGGCGTGACCAATGCGTTTTTCTCATCGCACGTGAGAAATCCCAGAGGACTGCCACGTACCACGTGAAAAATACAAGAGCTACGCGCTCGCACGCGCTTCAACGGGCGTCAAGCACAGCATGACATACCACGCGCAGCCTTGACTCGATACAGGCGAGAAGGTCGCTCACCGCACGGGCGAATCCTGCGAGCTGTCTGTCCTTGCTGACGCCCACGACATGGCCCATCACGACTCGACCAGCCTGCCGTTTCGTGTCCAAACGACCAGATTTGGTTGCCACGAATCAATACAAATAGCAGCGGCTGCCTCCATGACTGGCCCCAACGCGGTGAGCATCGTTACCCAGCCCTCGCAGCTGCGGCGGAATGCCTGTCTGCGATCCAGTGCTCGCGAAGCAGATCCACCCACGTTCGACATCAGGTGGCTACCATAATGACGGAAACGGAGCGCGCCTTGACGAGGAGCAATGAGAAGCGCTGTCGACGTGGTGGCAACAGTGAAGTCGTTGAGATACCGGTAGGGGAGTGCGGGTGTCGACGCGACGTGAGAAATAGGAGAGAAAATCACGCGTGTTCTTCACGCGAATTCGCACGCACCAGGAATAGGACCGAAGCATAAGGTGAAACAAGGCACTGGCGCTTTGGGCCATTTGGTTAATTTGGGCCCATCGCCCACGACGTCCGCGATCGCGCCGCTCCCGTACCCCCGCGTCCCGTCGCCGTATTCCCCGAGGGAGCAGAGACGCATGCTGGCCACCGACAAGAGCGCCAAGTGGAATCATGGCAACCCCCATGTAGGCGTCCTCCTCGGCCATCAGCGTGCCCGTGCTCATGGGCCTTCTAGGACATGGAGGCCAACGTCCCGCTCTTTGAGCGCGAGCGCCGGCAGGACTCGCAGATGGTCATGCGTCTGCAGAATGAGCTCCAAGACACAAAGAAGGCGCTCGAGGCGCAGACGCGCCGCCACAACGACCTCGAGTACGTCAACGAGGACCTCGAACGCCGGCTCGAGATCGAAGCCCGCGAGCGCATCAACATGGAAGCCAGTCGCGCGGAAGACGAGCGCAAGTGGGAGACGGAGCGCGCGCGGCTCCAAGAAGAAGCGCGCATGTGGGAGCGCAAGTGCGACGAGGAGGCCCGCAGACGTGCCGTCATTGAAGAGCGCCTACGCCGGTCCGACAAGGAGCTCTACCGCATGCTCCAGAAGAAGTACGATATTGAAAAGGCCGTTCGGCGCGAAGAGAGCGAGAAGCGCAAGCACGAAGTGCTGATTGTCCGCTCGATGGAGACGCAGCGCCGGGCGTCCAACACGAGCATGCACGCGAGCGGCAGCGCCTATTTAACACCATCGTCCCACCACCCACCGTCGTCGTCGTCGACCAACCCGAGCGAGGCCAAGCCCGCGGCCGTCCGCGCGCGTCAGGCGCTCGCGTCGGCGTTCGACTTTTTCGGCTTGTAACATCATCTTGCAATCAAAAATTACTCAGAATTCGTCCACACAAGATGCAACCATATCGTATTAGGTATGAGCTCTCTCCTTCTCCGCGACAAGAAGGGTCAGCAGCTCTTCAATGCGGTCCAAGCGCGCCTCGACCGACGCGCCCGACGGCGCCCAGGCGGACCGAGGCGAGGTCGTCGACTTGACACTCGCGACGAGGCTTGGCATTGGTATATCACGCTTGGCGGTGTCGGTCGCGTGGAGCCTGCGCTGCAGCATGATCTTCTGGATCTCGACGGCAAAGGCCGGGAACTGGTGCATGAGGCTGTCAAAGTCGAGTTTGGTGAGCACACCCAGTTCGCAGATGGTCTTGGCGACGACCGTGCGCGTGCGCTCGATCGCCATGAGGAGGCCGACTTCGCCAAAGAAAGCGCCTTCGGTGAGCACAACGTCGGTCTCGTCCACTGCGTTGGTCTTGGCGAGGACGACGACCGACCCTTTCGCGATGACAAAGAGGTCTTTGCCGAGCTCGCCGCGCGTGATGACAATGTCGCGCGGGAGGTAGATGACCGTCTTGAGGCACATGCACACGAGCCCGAGGAGCTGGTCGGTCGCGGCGCGGAAGAGCGGGATTTTCGCCAGCATATCGCGGTACATGAAGATCGCAATCTCCTTGCGGAGCGGCTCCGACATGCCCGTGTCTTGCAGCAGCGTCACCTTCTCCGTCGCGCTCCCCTGGTGCGTCCAGAGGTACTGGTGGTACGTTTGGATCCGATGCTATCGGGTACGTGAGGACGGCCAGAAGACGACGAGGTCGTACGCGAAGATGCTCGGGCAGCTGGAGAAACTCCATCTCGTGGTTGATGATGTCGATGCGCTTCCGGAACTGGTACCCCGCGCGGTTCCAGCTACGACGATGTGAGACGCGTATGAAGAGAAGTACGAACCTCTCGACGACAAAGACGCAGCTGCCGACCATGATGGCGCAGAGCAAAATGCCAGCGATCGCAAACAAGTTGCTAACCCCATCGATAGTACATGGATTGAAGACGAAGGAGCCCAACCTCATGACGAGAATGCCATCGGGAATCGTCGTCGCGTTGAGGTGCAAGAGACGGTAGCCGCCGCAGAGCGGGTCGAAGCTCGCGTACACGTTGTCGAGCGAAGCCAGTGTCATGATCGAGAGCGCGTAATGAAACCCGAGCGAGTAGGCTTCAAACGCCTATGCATTATCATTGGGCGTCGCACGACTTTCGGAGGTCACTATTACATTGCTGGGGTCGCAAAACACGTGAAGGTCCGGGGGCGCGGTGGCGGGAAGGTACTCGCACGGCGCCATGGCCAGAATCCAGCCGCACCTAGACAACGTCGTACATTATATATGCAGAGGGATCGGACGCACCCTGCAATGTGCACGGCAAAGATCAAGGCCGAGAAGATGGCTACGGCGCCTTCGTAGCGTTGGAAGCGACGAAAGCGGCGCACGAGCTGTGACAAGCGAAGCATGCGCGGCAACTAGCGAGATCTCATTTGATGCGTGGCGCTTGATAGAGGATCGATGGAATACCTTGATGTACTTGAGCAGTTTGACGCCTTTTCTCGACGATTTGCTATTCGGCACGAGCCACTCGGCGGGAAAGACCGAGATGAAGTCGACGAGGAACCACGACTTGAGGTACTTTTGGGCCACGAGGCTCGGGTCGTCGATGACTTCGCCGTAGACGACGACGGCGGTGCGGAAGCTAAGCACCAAGTCCACGGCAAAAAAATGTCGAGGGCCGTATGGAACACAGCGAGCTCCGAAGTTGGCGTCCACCACACAATCGCAACATTGAACGGGATGTACCAGCAGAGGTAGATGACGGCGGAAGCGAGGAGCATGTCCCAGACGCGCCGGAAGTGCCCCGTCGGGTTGATCATGAACGGGCGAAGCGGCGCCGACGGTGTCAGGCCGTACCGGAGACTCAAGAGCCCCGCTGGACGCCGCGTGGCCTTGCCGAGCTGCCCCCACTTGTCGCGAAAACTCGTCGAGAAGCGCAGATCCCCGCGCGCTGGGTGCGGTTTCGGTAGCTTGACGGCGATGTCGTTGCCGAGGTCGACAGCAACGACCGAGCTCGCGATGGCGGCGTCACGTACGCTCTCGGGCATCATACGCAAGTATGCTACCGCCTTTTCAGGCGCGAAACCCAAAACGCACGGACCGTTTCGTGCGCCTTTATACGGTTGCCAGCAGCGTCGCCACCAGCCCGACAACGGACGGACGGCAGAGCGTCGTCTTCCGAGCATTTGAGCGGACGCAAGTGTTCATCGACCGCACCGTATCCCGGCAAACTCGCGGCGCCGGTCGTAGCCGCCGCGACGGCTGGTGACCTTTTCGTCTTCTCCGCTCGAATTCGTCAAGCCCAGCGACCCGGCGACGAGTGCATCGACGCGCCACTTGGTCAAGCGCATGAGGTACTTTAAAGCACTGTCGGTAGCTCACCAGATTCGGTGGTGATCCTGTCGACCGACAAAGCCATGTCGCTTGTCCTGCGCCGCCAACCTCGACGAGGAGCAATTATTTAAGATATCGTTCATGTAGTACGCCACGGACAACGTGTTCGGCATGATCTGCATGCCCCTGCGCCAAGATGTCTACGTGTCGGGCGTCGGTCCTGTCTGCACATACCTCCCGTGCTGCAGAAGAGCGTCCATGGCCGAGCTCTGCATCCCAACCAAAGAGGTATTTGTTGTACGAGGCGTCGTCCATGCAACTGAAATTCAAGACGTAGGGATTCAACGGTATTCTGGGCGGTTTTCCTGAGTTGCCATTGAGATGACGAACCTTGTCGCCAAGCGCATCGCGCTTCTGTAAGACCAGCACAACTTGTCGCCCGAGACGCTCGGTGGTCGCGATAAACACAGTTTGGGTGCGGATTATTAACGAGCTTCGGGCGGATGCATTTAGAGCATCCAAGTAATTAGAGGTGGAACGAGTCGACTGAGGCTCGCAAAGTCGGCGTGTATTGAAGGAAGTGGAAGTTCGTCAACCAATTCAAGGTCAACTTGACCCTCTCACCCTCCCTCCCTCTATACAAGGAACGAGTCGAAATATGCCCTTCCACCCCAAAACACCACCCCTAAATTAAACCCGGGCGGGTCGGTAACGAGGGCCTACGTGTCAGGCACTGCACGACGCATCTCTATATTGTCGAGAGCATCACTGAGGCCGCGGGTTCTGGCTAAACGTCACATTTTACGATTTCGAAGCTCGAGATGCTTGAAGAATCTATCTGACACAGCTTGCAGCACTCGCTCCGAGGCCTCGTGTCGCCAACCAGCGACAACGTTGAGAAAAAGCTGGATGAAAAGCAGGACGACGACAAGGGAGATGTTTCGAGTGAAGCGGATGAGGAGCTTGTGGCTAACAAGGTGTGGACCATCGCCAAGCAGCGCCAGACACTCAAGGCCGAGACGAAGGAGCAGAACCAGTCGCTTCAGCGCAGCATGGAACGCCAGCTCGATGCTTCGCAGCCACCCACGAACAGCTTCTCGGCGCTATGATCGACAAACGTGGCTTCGAACGAGGTGTTATTTTAGTTGCTTGATTCCACACGCTTAGCTGATGGTGCAAAAGACGGGCGAGGTGTCCCTAGTTTGATGTGAGCAAGATCGCGTTGATAGAAAACCGTACACGATGACTTGACGAGGTGGGTGGATCAGGTTGATGGCGCCACACTCGGTGCAGGTGAATTGACACCCGGCCCGCGGGTTCTGCACCGAGTGAAGGGTCTGGCACGACCCGCAATTGAACGGAGCCTGGACCACAGGCTGGGCAATTACGTAGCGGCGCCCATTGAGCTCTTCGTGCAGCTGCCGCGCAATGGCCTCGTCCGAGCTCGTTGTAGGCACCGTTGGCTACACACCTCTATGACTGATTCACATCAAGCGTTCGTGTCGCACCTGCTCGGAGCTTTGGGTAGCCGGTAGGGTCTCAAAGGGACCGGAGGCCTAGGCCTACCGTAGCTTTCGAGTGCAAACGATTAGAGTGCCTACGCTGCGACCTGGGTAGTCTGACATGGTTATTTTGTGAATGGCCAACGTCGCGAGACGTATCGACCCGCCATGTTGCCGTTGGCGGGTGGGTGTATTTAGAGGAAAGTTCAGAGATTGTGCTTGGTGCTGGGTGGTACCAAAGGTCCCACGACGCATGTTGCAACAAGGATGCATGTTCTCTCCACGAGGCAGTGGGTAGTCCACGCGAGCTGTCCACGCTACCGGTATCAAGATCCGATGACAAGCAGAGCTCCACCATCTGGGGACACGTTGCGTGCTTTTAGCCTTTGGCGCAACATCAATTGATTGGCATGGCAGCCCACGCCGAAGGCCGTGCGACGATCGGCCAAGCCGACAATGTCTTTCTCAGTGCCCACCAGGTGCGCATCTTCCTAGTCACGAGTGCGTGCTCAGCAGAGCGTTTGTAGGAGCTGCAGCGCGACTTGGCCGTCTTGGTCCTGCAAGCCCTCGTTGCGACGGGGCAGCTGCCGCCATCGTCTGCCGTGCTCGACGCCATGGCCGGCACCGGCATTCGCGCCATCCGGTAGGATCCTCTCTCTTGCCGAGGTCTAATGTTTTAACCTAGTTATGCGCTCGAGGTGCCGGGTGTTTCGTCTGTTGCCAACGACCTCGACGCCGCCGCGCACGCTGCGATAGTGGCCAACATTGCCGAAAACGGCGTCTCAGACCGCGTGCAGGCGACGCAGCTGGACGCAGTCGAGTGCCTCTGGACGCACCGAAGACGGTTCCATGCGATCGACCTCGATCCCTTCGGAACGTGCGCGGCGCTGCTGCCGAGCGCGATTGCCTCGGTTGCTCTCGGTGGCGTCGTCTGCGCCACCGACACGGACATGCACACGCTTCTCGGAAAGAACGGACCGTCGCACGCCGAGTGCTTCCGACGCTATGGCGCGCTGCCGCTGACGTCAGCAGCCTTTGGGAAGGAGCTCGCGATCCGCATCGTGCTGGGCCGCGCCGCGTCGATTGCGGCCGACTGCAACCGGTCGGTGACGCCACTGCTGTCGACGGCGTTTGACTTTTTCACGCGCGTCATCTTTCGCGTCCAAGAGGCTGGTGACGCGCCCAGAGTGCCGCTCGCGGTCGTCGACCAGTGCACGCACTGTGCGCACTTTAACGTGCACGAGCTCGGTGCAGCTGTGACCTGCGTAGCACAGTGTCCCATCTGCAACCACGCGCTGCAGGTAGTTGGCAAAAATGCGTCAAGGAGCGAAGGTCATCGGCATGCGATGTGTAGCGGGGTGGTCCGTTCTGGGCGGGGCCGCTGCAAGAGCGCACTGTGCTAACGACGGCAGCAGCATTGCCAGGTCTGGACGCAGCACGCCGGTATGACCTTGGTTCGACACGTCAAGTGACGTACGCTCTAGGTATTTGGATGGCGTTTTGCTCGAGGAGTCGAGCGCGCCATTCTACTACTCGGTGCCGCGACTCTTTCGCGCGTTCAAGCATGTCCAGCCGCCGTCGCTCGCTGCGTTCAAGCACGCACTGCGATCAATCGGCCACGACGTGACCACGTCGCACTTGGACCCTATGGTATACTTGCACACGGCGATTGTACTGATTTATGTACACATTGGGTCTAGTCTATCAAGACGCGATCGTCATCTCGAGACATCTACAGCGTCGTCAAGGCGTGGCTCGCCACACAAGCCCCGTCGACGACCGAGCTGTTATTACTGCTGTCTTCGAGCCAAGCTGTCTTTTTGTCCGCAACAAGAGACGGTGCGTCGATCTCACTCGGGCATCAACTTGACACTTCTTGCGGCGTAGCCAAAGAGGAGCTTTGGGCAACGCCTACCAAGTGCACGCGCCAACACATGGAGGACTGCAGTTTGCTGCCACCGAGGAGTGCAGCGATTCGACGGCCATCGACATTGCTGGTTTCAATCGACACCACCGACGACCTCGCGTCAGCCATCGACGCCGCGCCCGCCGGCGCCACGCTCTGTCTCGCGCATGGTTCGTACGTTGTGACGACCTTGCGCATTGCCAAAGCCATTACGCTGCAAAGCATGTGTGGTGGTACGTTCTCTTTTCACTACAAAAACCACACCCGAGAATCACCGTGTACCAGAAGGCTCGACGGTCGTGATCGGTCACGTGGTTATCGAAGGAAACTCGAGTGTAGTTTTCGACGGTCTTGTGCTACAGCCGCCTAAACGACCGACACCCAAGGCCCACACACTCCTCGTATCCTCTGGTCGCGTCTCGATCGAGCGATGTGTGCTGCAGCGCAGTGCGCCCAACATCGCAGTCGTTTGCGTCGCCAATCGGTCGCACGTGACCATGAGGCTCTCGCGTATCTCGGACGGCCTTCAGGCTGGACTCTACGTGTGTGGTGGGTTCGACTGGTACTGCAATGTGCTCACACTCGAGACAGGCAAAGCCACGGCCGACGTCTCGCACTGCACGATTGAGCGGTCTGCCGGTTGCGGTGTCGACATCTCTGGGGGCGCTGCGTGCACGCTATCGCACTCGGCGATCGCCAACTGCAAGAAGAGCGGCATCTTTGCGCATGCGTTCGGCACTCTCACGATGCGCGACTGCCGCGTGGAGAAGAACCACATGGCTGGCGTCGAAGGTCGGTACACTTGCTTCCGCCATTGATCTATACTGCGAGTAGTGACCACCCACGCGCATGCAAGCATCGAGACAAGCTGGATTGTGCGCGGACTCAAAGGCGGCATCCTCCTGCACTCGGGCGGCCGCGCGACAATCCAAGCCAACGTCGTGCACAAGAACGCGATGGCAGGTATCGATGTCCGCGGCGTCGGAAGCGCCGCCGTCGTCCATCGCAACCACGTCTGCAACGGCCGCGCGAGTGGAATCTACGTCTCGGACCACGCCCACGCCGATGTCGTCGGCAATGAGATCTGCGGCCACCGGCGCGCGGGCCTCGAGACAACTGGTGACGCGTCGATCACTGCAAGCGACAATCAATGCGTTGGCAACGGTCGCAACGAGCTCGAAGCCAAGTAGGCGTCGTTCAGAAAGGGCTGGGTATTTCTTGCCCTAGCCCTGGGAACCTTTGTGCGTCATCGGTTGAAGTGCTCCTCCCTTGGAGCTCCTCACTGATAGATATTATGTAGTCGTAGGAGATCCTTGGTGTCGATAGTGGAGACCCGTGTTGATCTTGTGCCACATTTCTGGCCATTGTCTACCACGGACGCGTTGGCGGACATCGCAAAGTTGTCTAAGCGGTCCTACGTCAAAATAGGTACTTTTGAGCTTCGTAAAATGTTAGACTTCCTTCGCTGTGTACCGTCCGTTGAGGGGTGGGGGACGCGGTCTAGGTAGTTGAGCGAGGAAGTCGACGAATGTCGGGCTGCTCGGGCTCTTGAACGAGGCTGTGGCGCGGGTACAGTAGAGTGACACGCGCCGCAATCAAGGCAGTGGTAGGGCTTTGCGGAAGACGCGATTGTCCTTGTCTGGATGTTCCGACCGAGTTCCATCCAAGGATAACGTTTGGTGCACTACAGCAAGGTCACCCAAAAGCGCTTGAACGAATTTGAAAATGATATATGTAGGACATAAATTGTGATGTCTAGTCGTAGTGGGCTATGTTACATGAGAGACTGGAGGTATGCGCACGTCGTCGTGGGCTTGAAGAACGAGTAGATGCACGCGCCGTGGTGGTGCATTTGAAACCCGGCGTCGTCCATGAGGCGAAAGAAGATGGCCGAGTCGGCAATGCGGCGCTTCCAGCTCATGAGAAACTCGGTCGTCGTATCGTCCTCAAAGATCTCGAGCAGCGTCGTCACGAGCGCCGGGTACGCACTACAGACGCCATCACGACGGGCGCTTCAACGGACCAGCAACGCACCTGACGTAGAGCAAAATGTCGGACGCAATCACAAATCGAACCGGCTCGGAGCTCTTCCAGCCCGTGCCCCACGTGTGCGCATAGTGCTCGCCGACGACTTGGCCTATCCGAGAAATGGCATTGAGGTCACCACCCATCAAATCGCAAAGAACGGACCGTTGAGCGCCGAATTGAACTCGATGTTGGCCTCGATCGTGCCGTCGTCGGCCATGTCACTAGGAGGCGCAAGCGCATGGCATCAAGCCCTTTGGGAGAGGGCAGCAAAACAGCACGAAGCCTTCTGGAAGGAAACGACCATCATATCAAGAGGCGGTACCTCGTGATGACGTTGTAGAGCCGCGGGTCGGCGCGGAGGTGGATAGCCAGCGCACCAGTGGCGGCGCCGAGCTCGAGGATCTTGCCGTCGCCGTACCGCGCCTTGTTGGCGTCGATGAAGCTCGCGAGGTTGAACATGCCGGGCCACACTTTGTTGGCGTTGGCCTCGTGGAACGAGAACTGGCGAATCGCGTATGTGTCGGCGCCGATGAAGATGTTCTGCGTCTCGTACTCGTTGACGAAGGCCTCGTCCTCCGAGTCGCTCGTGGCGAAGAGCCCGCCGAGCGAGAGCGGCGCGTCGACACGGTCGCACACCATTGAACTGCAAATGGACCCCGTGCAACCTGGCGGATTATCCGTACGCTCGAACGGAATATCCGGCAATTGTAATATCCCGCCATCGCACAAATCCGATAATAATAATTGCTGCACTAGTCATACTAAATGCCAATTATTTTTATAATGGAAAATCAAAGCGTTCTCTTCTTATTCGGATCCGGTTATTCCAAAGATCGCTCCAGCGTTGTTTCAGTTGTGTGGTGCCTTGGGCCCATGGCGATTGACTGAAAGATATTCTGGCAAGACGCTTCATGGCTCCTGCAAAGACTGAACCGGCGTCGACGAGGCGTCCAGAGCTCATGCTCTGTGCAGTGTCACCAGCGTGGGAGGAATTCTGGGTCTTGATGCTTTTAGCGAGTCGTTCGCAGGCAGGTGGCTCATGGTGCAGACGCCTGCACTTCATTGGACGACACGGAACGCTGTCCTTATACCCAGTTGAAATGCCAAACTATATCGCATCAATACAAGCTTGCTTATACCGCCGTTAGCACTAGAGAATCGGCGCTCACATTTCCATGTCGTGCGACATGCTCTCCTCGAGGCGCGCAACGAGCTCCGCTTTCAGGCCCTTGAACGAGAGGCCACGCTTCTTCAGCTCTTCCTTGAGCTCCGTAACCTTCATCGATGCCACAGAGCCGCTGGCGGCCTTCGACGGGGCGGGCGACTTCTTGGGTGACGCCATCTTGGGCGGCGATGCAACTTCGCGCTTCGGGGACGCGACGACCTCACGCTTGGGCGACGGCGTCTTCTTCGGCGACGGGGCCGTTTCCTGAGGCGGCGACGCAGGCGGAGGCGACAGAGCCTCCTTCACTTGCTCCTCCAAACGCTCGACTTCCGCGAGCGACGTCGCGTTCACGATTGCCGCCTAGGAGACGACACGTGCATGGGACCGCGTCTCATAGTGAGGAAAGATGCAAGCAGCGTACTTGGAGTTCCGTGACGGATGGGCGCGGCGGCGACGATGGCGTCGGCTCTGGCGCCGCTTCGCCGTCCGCAATCTTCTTGCCGGCGAGCGAGTTGAATAGCCGGGCAGCTTCTGTCCGTTCGACGGGCCGGATTTTCTTGAAATCGAGGACGCGGACCTGCGGAAGCGTATGGATGACGTACTCGCGGTAGTACGTCTTGCGCGTGACGGGGTTCCCGATCAACGACAACGTATGTGCTACGTGGTTAAGGAGTCCACGAGTTGGTGAAATAATGGCAGCGGTCGCAAAGCGTAGAAAGGATATCCAACTTGTCAAAGCAGCGGAGCGCGTCAATGTCTGTGAGGTTGGCGAGGCTGTTGTTGGTCATCAGGAGCACCGAGAGGTTCGGGAGCGCCTCGACAAGGTTCTCCTGGATGCGCGCAATCTTGTTGTTGTGGAAGAGGAGCATACGCACGCGGCGCAGGCGAGGAAAGTTCTCGAGCTTCTTGATCTCATTGTCCGAGAAGTCGAGGCAGTCGAAGCCATCCTACGTGGTCGATATGTCGCTGGTACCATGCGTCGCCGGCGTACCTTGGTCGCGCCGAGGCTCTCGATAACAGGGATCTTGTAGCCTAGGCGCGCTGAGGCCTCTGCAGCGGGAGGAGGGCAGTACCTCGGAGGTCCAGCTCGCGCTCCCGGAGCGGGTTGATGTGGGCGCGGGCGTTTAAGATCACTTCGGCGGTCAAGCGCATCGTCCGTCGTCGTCAAGTCCTTGCGGCCCGTCCAAAATCGCTAACGTTTGGTACACAGTTTTCACCAATCGCAAAATCGCTCGATTCAAGCCAATGAAATCGCATTCCGCTCACTCTTTTTAGCCAATCGCATGTGACGTTGTAGTGGCGCCACAACGAGAGCTTGCGACTCCTCAAGATAGAATGTGTACCGACGCTCGAAGCCATGTCCACGTACTTGTACCCTTTCTTGGCCCGACGAAGTCCTGCGTCGCTCGCCGTAGCTTGGTCGCACCCGTGGCGCGTGCATCAACGAGGCTCCGTCGTTCGAGATTGTTCTCAGGTGTCCGAACGTCGGTCGCTGCTCCTAAGAACTGGAAGTGCGAAGAGCTCCATCGCATCAAACAAATGTTGTCGTGTCGACGCGAAGGTTCGAACTGGTAAACCGGTATGATACGTGTGGCACGTGCCATTGAACCTTGCGTAATCGCTGTGGTTTTCTCGGCGTCCCATCCTTGCACCGTCCTTATCGCCTTGTTTGGTTCCGTGCTGGCAACGTGCGTTGGCCTGCTTGGCGCACATAAATCGCATCGTGAAGTGCGCCGCAAACAATTCTCGAAGCGCACATAGCAGCAGGAAGCACGTTGTATTTAGGTTACGTAGTAGATCGCGTGTCGTTGTAGTATTTCGGGTAGTGTACATAATGTCGTGTCGTCTTCGAAGATCATGCTTCGTCGCAGTGGGCCGTGTAGTTGTCGTTGACGACGTTGGCTTTACAGTAGTGCTTGGTCGGGTGGGGCGCGACAACGGGGTCGCTCGCGTCGTGCGGGAGCGCCGCGTTCTCGACCACGGCTTTCCATCGGTGCATGATCTCGGGCGTGTGCACAAAGCAGAAAACACCGACGCAGAAGGCCGCAATGATGTGCGCGCAGATCAGGTTGGGGTAGAAGCACACATTGTCGTCCTTGTCGGCCGGATACGAGAAGGACCAGAAGACGTAGAGAAGGTAGACGGGCAAGAGCGTGCGCGTCACGGCCCACGTCACGTACGTGGCGTAGATGGATCGCGTGTGCGAGAGCGAGTCGTGGCGGCCCATGGACTCCATGAAGCCCCGCGCGTTGAGCGGCAGCGTCGCAATCTCAACCAGGAGAAAGAGAAGGAGGCCGAACTGGCACCCCGTGCACGCCGAGACAAAGTTGTTGATGATGTAGGGCACACTACATGCATGAGCGATGTGAGTTGCGTCCATCGATGCAAGCAAGTGGTGCGTACACAGCGACAATGTGGTGGATCACAAACACCCACTGCATTGGCACGGGCCACGCAATGACGACGATGAGGTCGAAGAGGAAATACCCGATCGCTAGACACCAACGCGCCAGTGAGCCACTCGTGCCAAGACGACGAAGCCGCGTACCAATGGAGAAGACGGTGCACGCGGGTTGGATCGAGCTCATTGGCAAGTAGTCCTTGTCCCAGTCGATGACACAAATGGCGTAGACGACGCCGGCGACGATGACAATCGCGTGAATCGTCGAATTGATGCTACGCACACTGTGAGCGAACGCTTTCTACAACGTCAAGCAGCATACCGCGAGCACCAATCGGCCTTCTCGGCAGGGCTAAAGTCGGGAAACTTGGGGTTGTGCTGGAGGCAGTACTTCCACGAGAAGCGAAACATGCCGGCGAAGAAGACAAAAAAGCCTGCGGCGATGGCCGCGTTGGTGGCCGCGTCGATGGACGTGGCGGCGACGGTCGACTCGAGGCGCATCTGACAACTACGCTCGCAATCTGGAGTCCTGTCCGCGCCCGTGCGACTCGGATCAAAAATGCCACGGCGGTGTGATAACAGCCCAACATCAACCAGTAACCGTAACACACGCGCGTGAGAAACTAATATTCACGTGGTGTCGCCTACACTTTCTCGCGTGTCCCGTGGGAAATTGGACGGCGAGATGACCTGGCTCGCGCTCTACAATACGAGTTCAATCATGAGAGCAGTAGTCGGGTACATCTTCATTACCGCGGGTAGGCTAGTGCTCACTAGAAAAAATTAGATTGAAAACAGGGACGACGATACGGCAGGAACATGGGGAGATGTGCTGCGTTCGAATAGCAACTTCAAGATCCACCATTTGATTATGCAATTGCGAAAAATTAAAAACTTCTATTCTTGCCACGCTACATGAGCCCAAGTCGATGACTCGGCGACGATAAAATAAATAAAATAAAT